GGGGAGGGGGCGGGGCGGGGAAAGGAGGCCCCCAGAAAGGGGTTGGGACCGATCGCTGAAGTGGAAAAGCAGCGCATGCGCGGGACGCAGTTCGTGATCTTTGTTTTATTCATCTTGCCTGCGATGAGGAGGAGACGGTGGGCGGCTTCGGGCCGGGCCCTCCGGCAGCCGATGGTCAGCCTCCAGGGAGAAAGCCGGTGGATCCGTTCCTGTGGCAGTCAGTGGGGGTCAGCGGCCGGTGGATCCGGGAAAGAGAACCAGCACTGCACCCTGTTGGGGAAAATATATATCCGAATAGAGCTGGAAGGGACCTTGGAGGTCATCTAGTCCAGCCCCCTGCTCAAGCAGGAGACCCTATGTCATTTCAGACAAGGGGCTGTCCAGTCTCTTCTTAAAAACCTCCGGTGATGGAGCGCCCACAAGCACCCACACAACGACTCAAAAATGTTCGGAAGAAGATGATAATATAACACACAGGGCTGTGGAGTCGGAGTCGAGGAGTCGGAGGAAATTTTGGGTACCTGGAGTCGGAGTCGGCAAACAATGCACCGACTCCGACTCCTACTAAATTTAGATTGGAATTTTAAAAAAAGCAAGTTTAAATGTCCCAATTCACAAAAAGTTATAATTAATGACTTCTCTATTGAAAGAATAAAGACCAATGCATGCAGTGCCTCACGTAACCGCAAAACGAGCACGTTAAGTGACCGTGAAGAAGCATGCTTTTCATGTGCATGGAATGTATAAAATACATTCGCATATTAATACAGAGGAGTCGGAGTCGGGGAGTCGGAGTTGGAGTCGGAAGTACAAAAAACTGAGGAGTCGGAGTCAGAGTCGGAACATTTATCCACCGACTCCACAGCCCTGATTAACACACAATGCGATAAAATACCTTATATTCTCAGTATAGGTCTTCCTATTCGAGCAAGGGAACACTCCATTCCATCAGCCACAAGCCTAAATCCTGCCTCGTGTTTGTCTTGACGGATGGCTGGCCGGCCATGGGTGTGTCCGTGGGCATGGACATCAGATCAAGGCTTTTGGACTTGATCCCGGATAGCCCTTTGCATATTTTGGTGGGAAGTGGTTTATGGGCATTGTCTCATTACTGCTTAATTTTCCAGGTTAACATTTAGAATAGTTTTGCAAGTAAACGTATTAGGATTTTTTTTAGAATATAGTACAATTTATGACAAAGTAGGATATTTGAATTTCTAAGGTTCACTTTAAAAATCCAGTTGCTGTTTATGTAAATCATTGTTTTTTGCTTTCCTTGTTTTGGAAACTACCCAGAGTCAGGTGGTGCCTAAATATTTGAGCACTGTATATTTTCAGAATAAAAATTTTAGACGCTTGTGTGCCATCTAAGATTTTTCCAGTCTCATTCTAAAAGTTAGCTGGCTTGCTTCTAAGTGAGTTGTACAGGGTTCGCCTAATACAATGTTTTGCTGCTGGTATATAAGTAAGTGATCATATTACTGTACATCAATTACTGCTAATGTAGAGATTGCATTTAAAGAATAATGCCACTTGCCTCCTTTTCCTTGTTTCTTTTTAAAAACTAAACTCCAATGAACAAATTGAATTTATTTCCAAATATATATCATAGGCTTGCATAGAAAATGGTTTTAAGACTCATTGCTTGAAGGGCTATAATTGATTTATTTATTCAGTTTCTATAGCTGCCCATCTCAGCCGAGGGACTTTGAGTGGCGTGCAATAATTAACGTACCAGAGTCAAATAACAGTAACATAGGTGTAGAGATTTCACATTGGGAGCTTCAATCACAGAAACAAAACATTTAAATTAAATATTTAATTATTTTTTTAAAAAAATGTCCCATATCTAAGGTTAGAGAATATTTTTCTGTGGGAAGGAAGCACAAGATGTCGTGAATGTTGGTGCTAACGTTTGCCTACAGTATTGCCTTTTTTTCATTCAAATTGCACACTTTGACGTCACCAAAGAGAACTCAGAGCTGGCAAAGCGGGGTCTGTTAGATGCTTGCTAGCAGATTGTGATGTTGTCCTTTGGGGGCATCCTGTTGCATGATGTAATTGAATGAAAAAAAAATCTGTTGAAATAGAGATCTTCTCTGTGTGGATGCTGTGGGCATGAAGTCTCCCTGGATTCCTTGTGGCTGTCCGTGAACATTTTCATCAGAGCTGAGAGACGATACAGACTTCTTCTTTGCTGCTTTTGTTTTTCTTGGAAATATTTGCATAGGAGGTGAGCAGAGATTGCTTTGGGTGAGTCAGGTCAGAGGAGGGGGTTATTGTTATTACTGTATTCATTTGAATATATTAGCCAAGATGAAGGAAGTACTCCATATCCCCCAGTATTTTATGACTTTAAAAGGCTGTAGATTCAATTTGGACATCACCTAACTAAGATTTGAGCAGCAGCCTTGTTCCAGGTGATGTAGCAAAGTCTAAGGGCGCCCTTCTTTGAGTAGGTTTGGGTGTATTGCCGTAAGCGAGACTGGGAATGCATTTGTGTTCTCTGTGTGAAAACTAAATATATCTTGCAATAATTCTTGTACCAAGCAGGATTGCCTAATGCAATCTACACATCAGAAGAGTAAAACTAACCTGTCTTATGACGGCCTAAACCTAGCTCACGTTTCCTATTAGTGGGTGAACAATCCAACTTGTAGCTCTGTTCCAGCGATCCTTTAGATTGTCATGCTGTTGAATTGAGAAACCTAATGTGAAACTAGTTTCTAGAATTCAGCTTTCCTCTGTAGACAGAGAAATCAGTAGATTTAAGCAGTTATTAAAAAAAAAAAACACCTTTAGCAGCATTTTGGCTTTCTTCATGAGGTGCCTTGTTTATTTATATAATTTATATGCTGCCCATCTCACTGTTACAGAGGGATGTGTTACTGTGTGTTCTTGAGCATTTTTGGGACTTTCACATTTTATTAAAAGGCAGATGTTTGGTGAGCTGCAGCTTCGTTAGAGGCACTGAGTGTGTAAGATGTTGGCACTGAGTGTGTAAGATGTTGGCCGTTCTGTTATCAGTCAGCTGCCCTTTGGAAATGATGAAGGGAGCTGCAGCTCACCAAAGCTTCTGCTTTTTTAATAAGATGGGCTGCTTGGGAAAAGGGCTCTGAGGCCTCGCATGATTTCTTGATACAGGGAGTCCTCGACTTACAACAGTACATTTAGTGACTGTTCGATGTTACAGTGGCAATGAAAAATGTGACTTACGGCCGTTTTTCACTGTTACGTCCCTTGCAGCATCCCCGTGGTCATGCGATCAGAATACAGGCGCTTGACACCTGGCTCATATTTACGATAGTTGCCGTGTCCTGGGGTCATGTGATCACCTTTTGTGATCTTCTGACAAGCGAAGTCAGCGTGGAGTTCAGATTCATTTAACAACTGCAGCGATTCACTTAACAACTGTGGCAAGAAAGCTAGTAAAATGGGGCAAAACTCACTTAGCAAATGGCTTCCTTAGCAGCAAAAATGTTGGGCTCATTTGTTGTTGTAACTTGAGGACTACCTGTATTTACCTTTATCTTAAGCCCTGGGACTGTTGTGTAACAGGTTTTCAAAGCCTTTTTTACCTGATCACTTATAACACATTGGGGTGGCTTGCCAGAGTTAGATATATGGATATTGGCCTGGAAAAGTGAAAAAAAATCTTAATTAACTAAGGTTAATACAGGTAGTGAAGGGTCCTTAAAGTTATATTAAGTCTGTATCGAGTGCATTCTTGAGATTGCAGTGTTTCTAAGTGTAGCAACTTCAAAAATAGTTATTACAAAATTCTTGGCTTTCAGGTTCTTTCAGTCCTTCTGCATGGAACTCAGATCTGTCAGGTGCATCTGTCACTGTAGAAATCCCTACGAGGAATTTCCTCAAGCCAGAAAAATACAAAGAAGGGTAGCCTATAATTTAGTGCCACGTTCTTCTCAATTTAGTCCATTTTCTCCGATTTAAAGATCTATTTCCTGCTAGAAAAATGTTAAGACCTGATTGCTGTGTTGCAGCATAACTCTGTAAGAATTTAAAATAATTCCAACATTCGTCTTAGGACTTAGGTCAAGAGACTGCTGCTTCCTTTTGTACGACTTATATTCCATCTCTGCTCTTTTCCTTTGCTGAATTAAAACAGAAAAGGTGGGGGAAAAACACCTGATGCAGATGCTTGTCTAGTAGAAAATCAACAGATTTTCTGAGCTACGGCTAGTACCACTTGCAATTCTGTTCCGTCCCTGGAGCCAAGAACTCTGTGTTCCGGCTGCTCAGGTTTTGCACCCTGAAACTCCTTCAGGCCAGAGCAGTTCAAAATGGAGACTGGCTTCGTGACACTCCAGTGAGAGTCAAGTCCAGGCCGTTTTAGAAGGTAGGAGATGTCTCTCTGGTTGCATTCTATCTACCCCTGGGGCAAGCGGGGAACACAGAAGGGAGAACCACCACAACGTTCCCAGACAGATTTTTGGGAACCTAACAGTTTAACTGGCGTTGGCTCCTACCTGTGTGAACTGTTCAGAATGGTGGAATTTGGGTTGTTCCTCCAGCAATCCAGGAACCACCCCTAAGTGTTCTTTCTTCCTCTGAGGATCTGCTCTCCTTCCTGATCTCCTGCCACCCTTCTTTAAGCTGTTGACTGGTCTCCCTGCCTAACAAGTTATTTACCAGACTCTTTCTCTAAAGATTTGTACGTATCTTACTGAATGCTAAGACATTTTAGAGAATTTATCTCTTTTTCATGCTACTTTGTTAAATCTATATTTCAGCTTTGTTCTGTCACAGATAAGCTCTGCTGGGCTCTCTGGAAAGGGCAGCATATGGATATGTAATTTTTATTATATATTTATATAATGCAGAGACTCTCGATGCATACAGTGAAATCTAATGAGCATTTAGAAATGCTGTGTTCAGTGTTGTGGCAGAAATCACCTTGAATAAAAAGCATACACAGGATTCTTATTCTCATATTAAGACTTGATTGTTTCTTAATCTGTCAGGATTTCTCTTGCCTGTTCTAAAGTCGTAAGATCTGTCATCGGTGCTCTTATTGCACAAGTATAACCTCTGATGGTATCTTCTCCTTGTGGGCATAATTAGCAAAATAATTGTGGTTTTGAATTATTATTATGGTTGGTTGCATGGTCAGCCAGATGTTCAGCCTGGATTTGGCATTTTTATCCACCAAGGACCTGGGATAGGCAGATACTGTTTTTTGATGATATTAGTGGTATCCTCACAGGATGTAAGCTGCTCCAAGCAAAACTTCCTTTTGCAATTGACTAGCAGTGGTTTTGTCAATGCTTCAAGTGGTGCTCCAGATGTCCCAAAGGTGCTTTTTCAAGAGGCAACTGGGCTTTCTTGCTTTTCTTTGAAGACATTTCACTTCTCATCCAAGAAGCTTCTTCAGCTCTGACTGGATGGTGCAGAATAGAAGGATGTATATTCCTTGCACACAGCTGGTCATTTGCATTCTTTTAGAATGTCGTTGAAGCCACTTGGAGATTTGTCTGTGTCCTCAGGGTCACCTGAGTCGTGCAAATGGGTGTGAAGCCTTCCTGGAACTGCTGAAGGGACTGTGTTGTAAACTGGAGATAGATGATGTTGTATCCCTCCCCCTCTGTTGAGAGAGGGCTGTTCAATTTGGACCTAGATGGCCTCTTTGACCCCTCTTTCAAATTAACAATCTTCTCTGTCCAAAACATGAACTTTGCTATCTTCAAAAGAGTGGCCTTTGTCTTTTAAATGCAGATGGACTGCTGACTCTTGTCCTGATGGGTTTGTTCTCTTATGTTATGCCCTACGTTTATGAAGTGGTTGTTTTATTTCCCCAATGTACAGATCTGCACATGGCTCACTGCATTGTACTGCATATACCACGTTGCTCAGTTTGTGTCTGCGTGTTTTATCCTTGGGGTGGACAAGCTTCTGCTTTGGTGTATTCTTGGGTTTAAATGTGCACATATGTTGTGTTGGCTGAAGATCCTTCTGAGCTTTTCAGATATTCCTGAAATGTATGGAATGACGACGTTGCTTCGTTTATTGTTCTCTTCTTTTTCTGTTAAGGTGCTTGAAAAAGCACCTTTGGGACAACCATGACCAGGATTAGTGAGAATCTCCATAGACATGGTGCTCCAGATGTTTTGGGGTTACACCCAAGGCACTTATCACTTTTGGTACTATCTTTGCTTTATTTTGCCACAATGGTTCTTCTATTTGCGGATCTTTGTATTTTGTGGGGGGTTTTTCCAGTTCTTTCTCCTTTATTCTACTGTTTCCAGGTTACTGCCATGTCCATTAATAATATTAATATTATTATAGTCTGTTCACAACAAGGTGAAGTGACAGCTGCTAATTCATTCACTGATGTTGGCCTTTGTACACATCAAGTTCTTCCCAAGAATCTAGGATGTTGCAATGAACTGGCATAGTATATATGTGGATCCAGGGAGTGTGGCGTTTTGCAATTGACAGATGAAAATTTTGTCAGTGTACAGATTTTCTAAATGCCATCCAAGAGTTTTTGCTATGGTACCCAAGTGTGCCAATAATCCTTGAAATCACCACAGCTGGTTTGTGCCACAATCTTTCAATTTCTGTTTTCAGATCTTGATATATTGTGATCTTCTCCAGTCCTTTGTCTTTTATTCTACTTTCCTGTGGTATTGCCCCATCAATTATCCAGACTTGGTTTTTTTCCAAACATAATTAACTCTGAACTGTTATGAGCTAAGATTTTATCAGCTTGAATTTGGAAATCTCACAATATTTCATTCTGCTCATTTTTTACTACCTTTTCAGCTACTTCCCACCATTTTTTTTCATTACTGGTGCTCCAATGAATCATTTTGGTGACTATGTCATGTTGTTGCTTATGATCAGTTTGTGCAATCTTCTTACACCAGCCAAGTACATGATCTACCGTTTCTTCTATTTCTTCGCACAAAATCTGCACTTTGAATCATTTGATGATTTTTTTTCAGTTCTGGTTCTTACTCTTACTTATTATTACTATTTGCTTTGCCAGGATTCAGCTTCCCACAGACTTCCTAACTGGAAGCAAAAAATGGCCAGCAAAGGACCTGCGGCTTCAGCTTCCACAGAAAGTTCCAGTGCTGGTGGGACCAGTGGGAATAGCAGCAACGGAGACAGTACTGGTCAGGACAGCACATTCGAATGCAACATCTGTTTGGACACCGCCAAGGATGCTGTGATCAGTCTGTGTGGCCACCTCTTCTGGTCAGTATCACCCCCAGTTTTCAGCAGCAAATACTTAAAATCATGGCTTTTGAAGGCTCTGCCTCCCGCTTGCTTCTTCCTTCCCCATATCATCCTTATTAGGCATGTTCTGGTCCAAGTCCCATAAGAGCCATGGGGTGAGTCTACCATTAATTTTTCACTGTTCTGGTCCAAACAAGATATCTGCTTTAATCCTGCTCTTCTTAGACAGATAAACTCCAAAGAACGGGATAATATTCAGATTATTTATTATTCAGGAATCTCAAACAATAACTTACAGTCAAGAAGAGTTCTTCTGATGAACAAACCTTCTCCGTTCTTCTGGTGAAAAATTAATGGTAGACTCACCCCATGGCTCTTATGGGACACATCACCTCGTGTCTGTCTTCACAATGGCTTCTTACATACACCAAAACCAGGAAGTACTGAAATAAACTTTGAAACTTCTCCCACTGACTAGATAAACTATAGGATTAACTGACTGCTAAAACTACATTACTCATAAGCCATCTCTTAAGGAAACAGCGTTTAACCCCTTAAATGCTAAACGTTCTAACATACAGTTCTTAAGCTAACTGGCTGGTCCAGCACAAGGCAGGTGAGAATTGTAAAGCTGAAGTCTTAAACTCATTATTGATTCTACATCAGGGACATCTAACCTTGCCCACTTTAAGCCCTGTAGACTTCATCTCCTAGAATTCCCCAGCTAGCATGGGGAATTCTGGGAGTTGAAGTCCCCAAGCCTTAAAGTGGTCAGGGACGGACCCCCCAAGCAGTTGACTTGCTCCCCATAGGGCTGGATGACACCATTCAATCCTTGAGAATGCATCAAGGGTGGAGCTGCGAAGGGAATGGGCTAAGGAAAGAGAAACGATTTCTGGTATTAATCCCAGCTGTGGCTCTGGAGGTAGCCCATTTGCCGTGTCCGTAGAACCAATGGAATTGTGTCTCCATCCTAGCCCACCTTTTCGTCTTGGAGTTGTTTTAAGGGTTGGATGCGATACAGTTCCTGGGAAACCATCCTGCTCAAAAACCCTTGAAAGCAGACCAGCAACTTTTGCTGCCGGGTGTCAGTTGTTGCAAAGAGAGCTTGGGCTGAAATGTGAGGATGTGGGGCAGGCACAGACATGTGCAGAGGATGAACTTGCCTGTCCATGGCTAGGGGTGCTGCTTTGCTTCTAGGAGACCCTCAACTCGTCACACTCGGCATAATCTGGTTCTCCAAGGCTCTGAGCAAACGGGGGCTTTCTGTTTGCAAAACCCGCATTTCATCTGTGAGCTGCCATCTTGTGCCCCTAATAAGCTGTTAATTACCGGCTGGATTTTCATACTATGCCAAAGCATAATGTGGCTTGATTGACTTTGGCTCAGCATATTGTGCAAATCTAGCTTTTTGTAAACCATGTGTGAGCACAGCTAATTACTGTTCATGCAACCAGGGTTAAACTGTAGGTAAATTAACTATGAAATTGGGGCCGCATTGACAGTAATGGGGGAGGTAATCCAATAGCTGAAATTAGAAAAAGAGGGCTTCCTGCATTATTTATTTTATTTTTATTTATCAGATTTAGATACTGCCTGTCTCATTCTTGTCATTTTTTTTTGTCACATCCTCAGAAATAGCTTTGTTGGGAACCTGAATTTCAGATGTTGCTTAGTTGCAGCCAAGAGGCTTTTGACAGCATCCGTACAATTGTGATTGCATTTATTCACTCTGAATTAATATTTCAGTTTACATTTGTCTCTTACCTTTTCTAAAATAAAACTGGTTGAATTTAAAGCAGATGGAATGAACCATCTTGTACCTAAGCTCCAAATCCAGCCACAAAAATCTAGACTTTCTGGTTTTCTCTCGGCATAATGACCATGAGCTTTAGCTATGAAAGTGTGGAGAAGACAATGGGCCAAACTCTGGGTTACAAAACAGGAGTTCCTAGAGGGCATTTTTAATACGTGCAGGTTCCGCCAGGCCAGGGTATAACATTTCACATAAGTATAAAAACATCCTATCTTAACTAATCCTGGATTTCCATAAGTAGGACCTGCAGTTAACAGGGGTGGAAATACCTTAGTGACATTAGTGGAACAGCTGTAGGTAATGTGAGAATGCATCCAAGAATCTGCCCAGCTGATGATCCAAGATTTGAGACCACCTGTCTTCTGAGACTTATCAGAGCAAGAAATCCTGTCTTTTTCTGTGTGTGCTATCATTTTGTTATTCAGGCTGTGTATTGCACTCTATTTCCTGGGGGTGGGACTTGTTCGTCAGTCACGTTCTTTTCTTTATTCTACAGAATTCAGTTAATTCGGAATTCAGTTATGCAGAATTCAATTCATGCTTTCTGAGTAAGGGGAGTTCCATTTTAGAGTCCCTTAGCTCAAGAAATCTCTATGCTGGTTTGTATACAAGGGGTATCAAACTGCCGGCCCGCGGGCCGGATGCATCATCCAGAAGCCGCGCCCACCCCATTGCCGGCAATGGCAAAACCATCCCAATACGTTGACATGTCTGGTATACATGGAAAGACCAGCTATTAAAAAAGCAGGAAAATCCTGCTTTTGTTGCTGCCTTTTGAAATACTGGGGTTGTATTGTCTGAGAGTCGAATCTGTATCATCTGAGAGCTGGATTCCAGGTTTCTGATTGTACACATCTAATGTGTGTGTGTGTTGATTTTTCTCCCCCACTGCTACCTCTGTGGACATTCTACTTTATGAACAAATCACTTTGGGAATCCCTGCAGTTGGCCTTGTTTACACCAGGTAAGGCTGGTTCTGCTTTGCTTTGTCTTTCATCAGCTTTGGTTATTACCCAATCCACCTTCTTGGTTTCCCAAGGGACTCTGGGAAGGTGCAGTATGCCTTTCCCTTTCTAAATGGATTGTGCGTCCTCCCCAAGGCAACTCTGTTTGGTAATTAGTGTTAACCATGCAATTGTTGGCAACCTTCTGTTTGGGGGCTTGGTAGGAAAGGGATGAGTGGCGATGAGATCTACTGTTTAGTAACAATGAGCATTCAGGATATATTCTGGCTATCCTTTCTGCCATTCTGTGAGGTAGGTTAGATTAATACCTCGGATGGTAGATTAGATGCTCTTAGGGGACTCCTTTTAGAATATATGGTGGGCTTAAGTCACATTTCCCAGCCCCAGCGGATAACACAGCGTTTTGAAACATTGGGTCTTTGATGAGATTTTGATGCTCTCACCTAAGGATCTTGTGAACTTTCAGGTAAGAAAGGCGAGATATTGTGGTGGAGTGTGCCTACGGAGGGGGAGGGGGTGTGATGGACTACAGTGAAGCAACAGTTTCACATGGAGGAGGGAGCACATTCCAAAGAGGGAGGTAAGAAAAGAGCTCGGAGATGGATAGGAGGTGAGGAAGAGTTAGAATAGCAGCTCTTACCGTGTTTCCCCGAAAATAAGACCCGGTCTTATTTTCAGGTGTGTGTGTGTGTGTGTGTGAGTGTGTCTTTTCCACTCACCTCCAGCATCAACAGCCCCACCCAGCCGGTCCACTTCTTCTGCAGCTTCATTCTGCAGCTGAAAATGGAGCACCGGCTGCATTTCCCCATTGGAGGCCTTTCCGGAAGGCTTCTGCAGCCGAGAAACGAGGTATGGATTGAATCCGTAGTTTGGTTCTTGGCTGCAGAGGCCTTTCCGGAAAGGCCTCTGACGGGGAAATGCAGGCCTGGGGACGCCACAGAAGAAGTGGGCTGGTGAGGAGAGGGAGGCTGCAACAGTAAGTAGGTGCGGGGTGCATGGGGCAGCTCCACCTCCCGCACACACCCGCCCTAGCTTGATTTTTAGGTGTGCACCTCGCCCCAAAACTAGGGCTTATTTTTGGGGTAGGGGTTATATTAGCCCCCCCCCAAAAAAAATCAAGCTAGGGCTTATTTTCAGGGTAGGTCTTACTTTCAGGGAAAACACGGTAGGAATCTCCCAGGGTACTCGGGTGCGAGAGAGCAAAGATTTCGTCTGGCAAGATTCTGTCTATTTGGTATGAACAAAAACTGAACTTTGCCTGGATTGCTCTATGTCGTTCCCGGGCTGGGCCTGGCAGACATTGAGATTGTTGGTGTCTCTTGATCTTTAGTTTGAAATGTGCGAAAAGGCGCTGACCCATCTCCCATTGAATGGGTGAGAGGCTTGAGGATGAATGATTGGTTGCTTTCCTCCCCTCCATAATCCCAACAGTGTAAGAGAAAGATTGAGGGCAATAGAAGAAGGGTACGACAGAGAATGAGGTGGCTGGATGGAGTCCCTGAAGCAGGAGGCGTGAGCTTAAAGGGACTCCAGAAGATGGCAGAGGACAGGAAGGCCTGGAGGAAAGTTGTCCATGGGGTCGTGATGGGTCGGACACGACTTCGCAACTAACAACAACAAAAATTATGGAAGTGCCAAGCCTCTGTCCAGGATTATTTTACAGTGTTGGGAGCTCTGTGGGAGGGAAAGAGCTGGACACTTTGGACCCTGCAAAAAGTACTGGCAGTCCTCATAATGACCATTCAGCTACAATGTGAAAGTAACTTTGTGACCAAAGCCCACGTTTACGATCTCAGTCCCTGTTCACCATTACAGTCAGGTAACACCTATTGTCCTACGCCTGACCCTTTTTTTTCTTCCCACCCCCCACCCCCAGAGATTGTCTAAAGAAGCTGTCTCTTCTTGAGCGGCTTTTCTCTGCAGGGCAGCAAGTTAACAAGCTCAGCTCTGTGACCTTGATTAGGGCCTTGCAGCTGCAGCCTGAAATTGACAGGATCCTAGTCAGTTTCACACTAAAGGCTTTTGTTTGCCTCCTAAACACCAGTGCATTCCTTTCCATGTGCGTTCCTATCGTGTGCTGACTTAGTCTCTTGTAATCCCTTCCTCTCCAAAGAGTGGGGGAGTGAGAAAAAGGGGCTGTAGGATTTGCCCTTTTCTCAGTCGTTTGAGATTGTATCTGATGCTATAAAGCAGAGGAAACCTGAAGTAACATCATAAGTGCAGTCATGGTCACCTTCTTTTTCACTTAATGACCAGTTTGCTTAAGGACCATGTTGCCAGTCCGAATTGTACTCACTAAACAAGGATTACCTGTAAAGCCAATATCTTGGCATCTTTGCAGAACTCTATGTTTTTTATTTTTTTACTTATTTAGTAGATTTAGAAGGTCCTAAATTCCAAAATGACTCTGGATGGCTCCTAAGTGATTATGCTTAAAATAGAAAAATCAAGAAGAACCCAGGTGCCCACACAGGCCACACAACTAGCAACCACCCCAGGGTCCCACAGACTCCCTACCCCGAGGCCTGGGAGATGCAAGGCATTCTTCTGTTGTAGTCCAGGTTTTCACCAGATGCCGTTCCTCTTTTCTGCCTTTCAGTGGCTGGAGACCAGGCCAAACAGACAGGTGTGTCCTGTATGCAAAGCAGGAATCAGCCGTGATAAAGTTATACCACTTTATGGAAGGGGCAGCACCGGACAGCAGGACCCCAGGTAAGACGGCCTCTCCTGGGAACAGTCTTTTGCTTTCAAAGTCTACTCAAGTGGAATTCATGGAAGAAAACCTGGCTGCCTACTCTTGACTCAGGTTTAGTCTTCAGGTTTCGGCAACCTTTTCTTACCTGTAAGAATCTCACCATTCCAATGTTTGTTACTGGTCATAAGTTGCTCTATGTCAGTGGTGGCGAACGGGTGCCAGAGGCGGCACTCTATGTCAGTGGTGGCGAACGGGTGCCAGAGGCGGCACTCAGAGCCCTCTCTGTGGGCACGCGCGCCATCGCCCCAGTCCTAGGCCTTCAGCTGGGTTTTATAAAACCTTTTCGCTTTAGGCCTCCGCTGCCGTGTGCAAAAAAAAAAAAAAGGTTCAATCAATTTCAAAAGGGGGAAAAAAGATCTTGCAAAGTTGGAATTGATTGACTGAACTTTTTAGTCCCACCCAGTCTGCTGTTACCACTGCAGCCACGCCCACCCAATGGGCCACGCCCACCCGGCACCCGACGATGCATAAGTGGGTTTTGGGTTGCAGTTTGGGCACTCGGTCTCTAAAAGGTTCGCCATCACTGCTCTATGTGCTGCCCATTCCCGGCCACAGCATTCTGGGGTGTGTGTGTGTGTGTCCTGTGTAGCTTCACATGATGCAGCTGGAGTTGGGACATAGTGTTCCAGATCTTTATTTTGGTGTGTCTACCCCAGAGGCTCACAGGCCAAAAAGCAACAAGCAAAAGATTGTCAAGCTTGATTCTGGGGATTTCTCCTCCCATCCTCTCCCTATCTTGGTAGGATAGTAAAGAAGGAATCTTAAGGATGGACAAATTTAGCATTACATAAGCTTTACAGGTCATAGTCCAAGTCTGTCATAGGCAGCTGCATTACTGAATAGTGGAAGCCTTCTTTGGAACTTAGAAATAACAATTGAAAAAACTGGTATCCAGGAGGATTTTTGTCTTTTTAGGACTTTATTGGGATTCTTTCAGAAGACCATCATTAATGGTTTTCTTGAATGGCTTTTTTCTAGACCCTACTCATACATAGCTCATACTAGCCTGTGTAGGGTTCTCATGACCAGGGTCTGTTGAAACATGGAGGGGTCTCCTGATGGATGCTACAGTAGGCTTGGAAGCTGCTTCTGCATCCCTGGAGTGAACTTTGCTGGGTTTCTGTGCACCTCCAGTAAGACCATTTTCAGGACATGGGTGTCTGCCTGGTCTCCCTGTGTTGTGATTCCTCGTCAGCCAGTGGAACTGGCAGCTGAGTCTGGGGAATCAGGAGGAGGAGGAGGAGGAGGGGCCTGGAGGGACATCAGAGTCAGAGGAAGGCTCTGATGAGCTCCAAGACTTAGAGTCTGACGAGAAGCTGGCCCCTCTACTGCACTTAGGCTGAGACACAGCTGTCCTGGGAGTCTGAGTTGGACAGTGATGACTCACAGCTGGGAGATATCCAGGATGCACAAAAACGCCCGCAAGAAAAGAGAGTAGGACAGAGGAATGCAATGGGGCGGCTCCAAAGGCAAAGGAGAAGGCATTAGGAAGCCCCGCCTTGGCTGCATAATAAAAGGGAAGGTGTGGGAGGTGCTGGCTGCTGAAGGCAACCATTTGTGTTAAGGAATCAAGTTTCAGTGAAGTGTGTTTTGTTTGCCTTGGACATTGACTCAGGTCTATGAGAATAAAAGGGTTTGGTTTTTCTTGCGGTTCCAGCCTGCTTGTTGGAAGAGAGTTTCTCCTTGTGAGCTTAACAAGGCTGGGACAGAACACCCTGTGATTGGCTTTGTGGCAGCCAGATCTGCAACTCTCTTGAGGAACATTTGCATGTTCTTCTGCAAGGTGTGCAGAATGTTGTAATGTTTGGGCCATTAGTCAACAAATTACCTGCCTGGAAAGGTTGCCAATCCCTATTCTGGGTGTTTCTGGAACAGTGAGAGGGTGATCTGACGCGTCCAACTGGGGAACAGATGTTTGGAAGGAGTTGTTTGTCTGGATGGCTTTCACTATGCTGGCTCAGGAATTCTGGGAGTTGAAGTCCACAAGTCATAAAAGAGCCAAGGTTGCCTACCCCTGCACTAGGGGATTTTTGCAGGATATGTGGAGATCAGGATACATTCTTCTGGATTTTCCAGTAATATATCATTGGCAGGAGCAGCCCAGTAATTTTGGCCATGCTTCAGTGTTCTATCCCCAAGCAAAATCTAGTTTCTTTTCTGCACTATTCAGGCACTATTTATTTATTAAATGTATATGCTGCCCATCTCACTTTGCAGTGACTCTGGGTGGCTTATGAAATGATGAAAAGGTAAAGGATACAAAACCATTGAAATTAAGATTAAACCAGAAACTAAAAACCAAGAAGACAGGTGACATGGAGGTGGAAATCTCTGTACACTGATTGATGCTTTCTCACCACAGGGGTAGAAATGCTGCAGCTGTCTGGCTATTAAGATGATGAAAAGGAGGGCCCGGAGGGAGAAGGAGGCGCTGGGCCTCAACAATATTTATTTATTAAATTTTTTTGCTGCCCATCTTGCTACAAGGAGATTCTGGGCAGCTTGCAACATCCATCCATCTCTCTCTCTCTCTCTCTCTCTCTCTCTCACACACACACACACACACACACCCTCCCTCCCCCCCTCCCTCCACAATAAAATTGCAACAAAATACAGATTATAACTAAAAGATGGGGAGGAAGGGAAGAGAACGTTCAGGGGAGAGGTGGGAGCTGCTGTTAGTCGATCAGCCACCTTCAGTGTGATGGTTCCCCATTGGGGCCCCAAGTCAACTGCTAGATGCCCTCATTAAGCCCCCGTAATGAATTGTATCTTGCAGGGAGAAAACGCCACCTCGACCTCAAGGCCAGAGACCCGAGCCAGAAAATAGAGGGGTGAGTAACACAGAATCTGGGAGAGGCTTGTGCTTCTTAGAATTACAGAGGGAAAATGCTGCAAGGCTGGACCCCTTCAGGCTTGTCTGCTGCAGGTCTTTGCGAGCCAGATTAAACCAGACCAATCTTGGATGGCCATTTTCTGTAGAGAGAGTTAAACCGCTGGTAGGAATAATGCTCTGGTGTACATTTTGCAAACTCCGAGCTGCCGTACGACTGCCCTTAAAACAGGGGTGTCCAACTTTGGCAAATTTAAGACTTCTGGACTCCAACTCCCAGAATCCCCCAGTTCTGGGAGTTGGGAGTCCATAAATCTTAAAAGTTGCTGAGGTTGGACACCTCTGATTTAGGCAGTGGCTTTTAGACAGGGATTTCAGAATTCTGGGAGTCTACCAGTTTTAAGGTTGCCAAGGTTGGAAAAAACCCAGCCTTAAAATATGGTGGGCATCAAGTTAGCCTGCAGTTGCAGGAGGTGCAGCAAGTTGTGTCCAAAGAGATTGTGAATGCTGACTTTATAAATAGCAGACTCTGGAGAAAATGGGCCATTTTAACCTTTCGTAGCCCCAAGTTGGAGGGATTACCTGGCCTGATGAAAGAGTTGCCTATTTCCATGCAAGTCGGCGGGAGCCTCCAGAGGCTGCTCTCTGCTCTTTTTCTCATCCAACAAGCAGCTCTGCTGGGGGTGATTAAGGAGCACTTTGTTCGTCTATTCCCCGGAGAGCCAATGCCTTATTGAATCAGGTGCTGAAGGTGGAGGGTGCCTTTTTGGCATGGCTTCTGCCTGAAGCTCTTGTGGCAAAGCGCACAGGCTGCCTTGCCCAGCCTGGAGGTGATCTCTGATCCTCGGACCCTTTTTGCTCTGGGGATAGGCTCAGGTTGCTCAGGCAGGTTTTGTGACCTGTGACCAGCAAAGAACGATCTTGCTCATCTCTTAAATATTGGGTGAGCTAGCAGGCCGCCAACTTGCTAAATTTAAGTTGGAAACACGCTACACTCTTGCACCCCAAAAGATCACATGGGAATAAAATAACAAAGCCGTGAAAATCAGGAGTCTGGCAGCACCTTTCACAGCTAACTAATTCTGTTAAAGGCATAAACTTTCATGAGCTGCAGCTCAAGCATCAGGAGTCTGCAGCACCTTTTCTGAAGAACCCATTTAATGAAACAAAATTTAATAAAATGTGTTTGTTGAAAAAGGGATTACACGCTCCTAATGTTTTGCTACCATGGACTAACACAGCTCTCCTACTACAAAGCCTTGAACGAATCTCCTGTCACTGTATTTCTGTGGAGTATCCAGAGCCAATCTATCTGGATAAAATCTTATCTCTGCAAGGTACAATGGAGTAGAAGGATGGCAGAAAATAATTGCTACCCGACTGGAAGGAGGCAAGGCCAAAGAAGCACTGATGATGTTTCCCTAGTTGGGCAATGAAATGTCTACAAGCAAACCACCAAGCTTGAAGAGCACCAACACCTCCACAGTTCATCACTGAGCTATATTTATTCCCTTCTATTGGAAGGGAAATGGAGCCAGGTCCATAAAGTAGTCTGGTCTGGGATGCTGCTTTCAGCTCATCATGTTCTCACAGCGCACAATTGGAAGTCCCTCTAATCTGCTGAAAGAGACTGCAACCAGTCAGGTTTTAGTTTGTGAACTAGGACATCTATATATGCAAGTTGATCAGTTTTTGTTTGTTTGTTTCTAGGGTTTCCAGGGTTTTGGGTTTGGTGATGGAGGCTTCCAAATGTCATTTGGAATTGGAGCGTTTCCGTTTGGCATATTTGCTACAGCCTTCAATATAAATGATGGCCGCCCCCCTCCAGGTATGGGATTAAATAAAATTAGCCTGGCCAATCATAATTGGGCTGGCGTTGCATTCTGATCTGTTTTGCTTAACTATTGATCAACGCTCGTCTACTCATTTTGCCCAATGAGCATCTCTGTTGTATGTGACCTTCTTCAGAGTCACCATCTGACGAGTCCCAGCAAGCTCTGCAGAACAGGGACATCCCCTCTGGGAGATCTTTGCAAAACCTGAAGAATAGAAAATAGTAGAGATGGAAGGAATGTTGGAGGTCCTCTACTCCAACCTCCTGTCCAAGCTGGAGACGCTGTACCGTTCTGGAGAAATGGCTGTCCAATCTCTTTTTAAAAACCTCCGGTAATGAAGCACCCACACCTTCTGGTGGCAAGCTGTTCCACCGGTTGTTTTTACGGCCTTCCTGAACAGCTCATGCACAAAGGCCTGGTCCTGCTGAAGCGCATCTGTTTCAAAGAAGACAAGACAGTTTTAGGGACTGTCCATTTTAAGGTTTCTGGGAAGCTTTCTAATAAAAAAAGCTTTAGAGTCTGATTCCACACTTAGAGCGGAAAAACATAACGTTCCATTTGTAAATTCTAACAGAAAGCTGATAATTGTGCTTTGTTTTTTCTTTCCTTAGCTGTCCCAGGGACTCCTCAGTATGTGGACGAGCAGTTTCTCTCTCGCCTCTTCCTGTTCGTGGCCCTCGTCATCATGTTCTGGCTCCTGATAGCTTAACTTTGCTCCATACCTTGCAGAACTCTGAACCGGCCACAGACTGCTGCTTGTCTCCCTGTCTGCCTCTCGGTGTCCAATTCTTCAGCTACTGATGGGCTCCTAAAAGCCACTGGTGTCTTTGTGAGACGGAGTCTCTCTTATTTTTCCAGAACTATGGTGTTAATGTTTTTGGAAGTTCTCTGAAGCTCAGCTGTATCTCACACAGCCAGGATCTGGCTGGAACTGCAACCCTAGCTTTGAGCTCTGTATCTCAGTGAGGAGTGTTTGAATCTTGTGCCAAATATCTGGAAGAGATGCTGCTCCAAAGGGAATTGGGCATGGTGGCTGGCAATGGAACCTCTTGTCACACCCCCCACTATCTTGTGTCTCGAGCAGTGAGAGGAAGGAGACCAGGGGACTTCAGAACCCAACTGTACATCTTGCTCAAAAGCCAACTGACTCCAAGTAATATCTTCTATAAATAAGACATCTGGCTGAAGAGGATTGTGTCCCATTCCTGCTGTTACATACCCAAGTGATAAAAGACCATCTTTGTTTTTCCAGCAATCACAAAAATGAAAGGATAAAAGACTTTTTAATCTAAAACGGTAGCATATCTAAATTTACTGGAATTGGGCGGGGCGGGGGAGAGGGAATATCATCTCAGGGTTTTGGAGGGGCTGCTGGCTGTCATGCAGCACACTTCCTTGCTGATAAAAGCAGTGTTTTAAAGGGTTTGTAGCAGCTATCAACTTTTAATTTAGGTAGACATAATTTCAGCTGTTGTTCTTATTTAGATACATCTCCTCCCCGAAATGTACATTTTTTTCCATATTTGGGATAGGTTAACCGGGAGGAGTATAGGATAGTCTCTTACAGGGGTAATTCACTTGAGTATTTGAGGCCTCCCCAACTCAAAGTAACGATTATTACACAAATGGGAATAAATCTGTACATTTTTTACAAGAACAGGGAATTCTGCTTAAACAGTTTGCATGTGGCCAAGGGACCATTGGTGTGTGAGCTTTTTCAAATGACCAAAGACGTGTTTTTTTGAAGGGTAATCATGGGCCCAATGCAGCAGGTGGTTTGAACAGTGCTTTAGCTGCACAGCATCTCACATGATGGTACTGGGTGCATTTGGAGAACTCTTTACAGAAGGGGTGGAAGAGGAATCACGCTTTTAAAAAGTTGTGGCAGAATCTTTTGGGCCCACAGGATGCAAACCTCTCACTTAAATGACTGCCAATATTCTTGTAAGGGTGCATTTATTTTGCAATCCTTTTGATCTTCTGGATGTTAACAGACTTGCTAGTCAGACCCCACTGATGTCGAGGTTTATTTTTCTGTAAGCGTGATGTGGGGGGTGAGGTTGGCAATCTCAAGAGTGAGATGCGTGTCACCACCGTTTCCTTTCACCGAAGTCAGATACCAAATGTGAATTTTCTTGTGGCCCAAATTCTCTTCTATCAACAAAATCGGACTTGGCAACAAGAAGGCTCCATCCCTTGAATGAAGATCAGTGCCACCTACTGTCAACAAAAAAACATTCAGTTGCATTGTAATACAAGTAACTTTTATTTCTCCCTTTCCTAGAAAGATCATCAAACTGGAAAAGCTGTCTTTCTAAAATCAGTCTTATACAAATGGTCAAATGGCTGGGATAGTGTTGAAATGTCAGATGTTGACTGTTAGATCGGTTGTGCTGGCCAAGGTCCACGGTCTTTGGTGGTGGGGTTATTTCGGCCTTGTCTGCCTTTGGGGGGAACAGAATTGGTGGCATCTGAAAAACTTTTTGGCTGAATTGCAGCAGCTGATTCTGGGCTTCTGGCTCATGTTTGCTTGATAAGCAGACCCTCCCTCCCCGGATTTCCTCTGGTTTTAAAAGGCCTCCCTGCCCACACTCTTTGTATCCCTTTTTTTTCTCCACACCATCTATTCAGATTCCTCTTGGCTTGTGGTCAGCAAAGTATGGTACCACTGTGCAACACTGCTGTTCACTAATTTTCACTGTTGTGAAAGTCTGAATAAACACCTTTTTACATTATCTTACTGCTGCGTGGAGTTAATTTCCTGCAAATTGTTTGGAGAGGCGCTGCCACCAGGAAAGTGGAGCCCCATTGCGTGGCTCGGCTCCCTGACCATCGGGTGGACGCCCGGGCTTCCCATTGCGATTCACCTCGGACCTTCAGCCCGGCGGCTGGAGCGCAGAACCAGGCATGCCCCCCGGCTGGATCGTCCACGTCGTTAGGGCTGAAGCGTCCGGGTCTGTCCCCTCGCCCCTTGCTTTCCGCCGGCCGAGCAGGGCCGTCGCAGCAACCGTGGCCCGCTTCACGTTGCTTCATTCTTGGGCGGCGAAGGCGAAAGTAACCGCTTCCGCGCTGATTCGTGGCTGGGCACGAACTTGGATTGGCGAAGGCGCGAGAGCTGCTCAGCAGCCCCGTTGCCTCCCTGTCTCGCAAGCTCCGCGCACCTGCCGAGCGTGTTCCCACGACGCGGTCATTGGCAAACGCGAGTCGGACCCGGCGTCCCGTGGTTTCGCCCGAAGAATCTCCGCCACTGGAGCGAGCCCCAGGCGAGGCCCGCAAAGCCCCGCCGCCGGGGATGCAGGCGAAGCCCGAACCTGCATCGTGAGAACTCGAGCCGCCCGGAGCTTCTGCGCTCACTCGCGAGTGACCGTCGGTCGCATCGCCGCCACGTGCGGCGGGGGAAACGGCAGGCGCCGATTGGCTCCCCGGCTGAACGAGGGGCGGGGATAGAACGGCGCAGAAAGAAGTTGAAACGGAGGAGGCGGGCGGCCGGGGCTCATTCCGCGGCCCCATTGGTCGGAAGCGGTGGGCGGGGAAGCGGGGCGGGACCGGCGTGGGACCAATCATTGGCCGCGCGCGGGCAGCAGCGGAGCTCGGCCGGAGGTCCAGGTGCGACGTCGCTCGCCGTGTCCGCTGCGCTGGCGCGCGGCGCGGGGCGGGGGGGCGTGAGGCTCCTTCCTTCGGCCCGGCGGTGACGTCACGCACGCGCGGGGGCGCTGAGGCGGCGCTCGGAGGCCATGGAGGGCGGCGTGGCCGCGCCGGCGGGTAAGGAAGCGGCCGCGGGGGACCCGGCTGGCGCGGCGCCAGGGGTCGGGGTGGGGGGGGGGCGCGTGGCCGCAGCCGAGTCCCTCCCAAGCTGGGCGGCCACGGTTTCCAGGGCGCCGCGTCCTCACGTGGGATCCGGGCTCCGGCTCGCTGAGGGGCCCTCCCGCCCTTGGGACGCCCCTCGCTTGACTGGTTGCAAAGGGGGAAGGGAAGCGAGCCTGGCCCGGGAGGGAGGAGAGGCGCGGAGACCCCCCCTCCTCCCGGGGGGCAGAAAGCAGCTTCTTTCCGGGCTCCTGCTGGGGAGGCTGGCGGGGGCCTTGGGGCCCTGCCCGGGAGTCTCTAACCCAACCTTGACGATTTTAAGGCATGTGGACTTCAACTCCCAGAATTCCACAGCCAGCAATGCTGGCTGTGGAATTCTGGGAGTTGAAGTCCACATGCCTTAAAATTGTCAAGGTTGAGAAACACTGCAAGAGGGGCGAGGAGGGGATGACTTGCCCGCTGCCCGGCCGTTAAAGCCAGGGGCCTCTTGCAGGCGGTGGTGGGACCCCCGGTGGGCACCCCGAAGGCCCGGCTGAGGGCCTCCTGTCCCAGCCAAGGCTGCCCTCCCGCTGCTTTCTCAACCTGGGCGACCCGCAAGGACTGGCTGGGGAATCCTGGGAGTCCAAAGTCCACACGTTAGCAAAATCGAGAAACACTTCCTAGTGTAGCTCAGGCGAAATGGCTGGCTTCTTCAACAATAGGCAAAATTATCTGGCTCTTAGGTTGAAAAAGAAAGATGATGTGGCCTCTGTGTTGCTCGGCGTTCTTTGGAAAGTAGCCCAGTGTTGATTGCAACTCTGAAATGTTTTCGTGCTCAGTAATTGTATTTCACCTTATCTGCGTTCTTCACGGTTGGGGGACTCTGAGCCCAGGTGATCATTTTTACAGCTGGAGAGAGAGAGAGAGAGGGTGGGCTTTGGCCTCGGATTTCTTTAGGGAATTTAGAGGCTGGAAGTCTTAATTTATTCTCACCCCTTTGTAACGTCTTGGTATTTTGTTCTGTTTGAGGGTTCGTGGTCTGTGAACCCTCCAGGGACGTGAAGTGGGAGTACTAACAGAATTTGGTAGTTCAACAGAAGGAGTGCAGAAGAGTAACAAACAAGGACTGCATGTTCTACTACTAGGAGAAAGCCCTCATCTGGATATGATTGGGAAGGGGATACCTTGGAGCCCGTTTGATTGCCCACTGTGGGTGATTAAATGACGGCTTCCTGCTGAGGAAGCAGAGGCCACTGGAAAGACTGCAGGGGGAATATAAAATAGCCCGTTTCCAAGAAATGAGCTCACCAAGTGAGTGAATAAAAAAGCTTAAAAGGATTTGGGCAGGAGAGGTTCAAAAGTATGTGTTCAGCTGATTTTCAAAGCTGAGAAGGAAGCAAGAAGAAGTAAATATCTGTCTCCGGGTATACCTTATGAAACTGAAATAACAATCAGGGAACGTGACACACGATCTCTACTACTTATGCCATGTTCCTTTTCCTTCCTGAATACAGTCTGGTATGTATCATGCCGCAAATGCAACTTTATAGTAGTTCGTGAGCAAAAATAATACTAGGATTGGAACAATGAACAAAGAGTCATTTGGCCAAATAAAAACTCTATACAGTTATAGAGCAAATGATAGCTGATGGAGGAAACCACTCTCCCTAAGGTACACTAAGGAAAGAAAACATTTCTATATTGGTGGAAACCTAGAAAGAATTCATGCAGAAAAGTTCATACATGAAGGACAAGCTTTGGGTCTGTAGGGAAAGAAAAACCCTGAATAACATTTGACTACTCCAAGGTACAGAAACAAATGTGTGCCCATCATATCATTGACTCATGAATTCATCCATGATCATGGATTAGGGATGTTGCAGATAATGTCCAAGATGTAGCAAGTCCAGCAACAATTTTTCAGGTTTGCTAATCCATGGGAACAGATGATGTTACCAGAGCGGCTACAATGATCCAATTGCACAGCATGAGAAACTGCAGTTCCGGGCTGCTCATCACTGAAGACCTTTTCCACCCTTTGGGGGTTGTTTATCTTTGCTAAATTTGTTTGTACAGTTTCATTATCTGCTCCTGTCTCCCATTTTCTGCTTACAGGAATTATTTGCAATTGTTTTTTTTAATATTTCCTGTTTGGGGAATTCCTGCTCATTTTGAGTTCCCTTCCCTCCTTTTCCTACCATGAAATCTTACTTATTGCTCTCAATTGATCAACAAATGCTTTCTTGGAGCACTTAAAATAATGTTACAAGACGCACAAGCTCTTTGGGCAGGACATTGACTAATGCAAGGGTAGTCAACCTTGGCTCTTTTATGACTCGTGGACTTCAACTCCCAGAATTCCTGAGCCAGCACAGCTGGCTCAGGAATTCTGGGAGTTGAAGTCCACGAGTCATAAAAGAGCCAAGGTTGACTACTCCTGGGCTAACGGGTTTAACTTAGGGGAGGCAGATTTTTGAGTGATTTTGGGGCAGGCTTTGAGAAGACAGCAGCTGAGTCATCCTCTTTTCTGACCGTTTTCAGCTCCAAGACAAGCATCTCTTGGAGATGCATTCATTTGAATTCCTTCTCTTTCAAGTATCAGATTTTTTTTTTCCAGGGAAGCAAGAAGGAATATATAGTTACCTCATTCTGAAAATTACATTTGCTTCCATGTAGGTATGTCAAAATGTATGTTCAGGTATTCATACACATTTTAAATATTTATGTCATATTACATAGCATTAGTCTCATACTTGAGTAGGGAACAGAAAGTAGAGAATAAGTATAGGAAGAAAGAATAATAATTACAGGGAAAAGACCATCCTGTTAAGTCTACCCTTTGGGTTGGACATTGAGATTGCGCTTAATCAGCATGCCCAGTGTTCTCACGAGTGACCCACTCATGGGATCCCACCATACCTCCCATGGTCTTGATGTCTTCCTGCCTTCCTCAGGGCTCCCCTACCCCTTAATCTCCTGCTCTTGGTCAAGGCAGCCATTCACCCCAACTAATCACCCCAGTGCTTGCCCCCCCAGGCTTGCATTCCCCTGAGTCTTCACTGCGGCCCAATGACCTTAAGCTGCACCTGCCCTTGGAACTCAGTGACCCAAGGAGCAAAATCCAGCTACTGAAGGTTCAGTGATTGCAACTAAGCTTTCTCACTTTTGGGGGTGTAGGCTACCAGAGGCTGCCTTGCCAGGCAATAACATGTCTGAAGCCTCCAACCGCTGCTTCTGCAGGAGTTACAAGTCCCAGCATTCTTGTCCCAGAAGAGGCTCTATTCCTATGTACCCTGAGTAAAATCTCTAGATTGATTTGTTCTATAATCCATTGTTTGTTTTCTTGGTTATCCATGGCATTCTCAGAAGTCTTGTCCAAAGCCCAAATTCAAAACGATCTGTGGCCGTTTCCCCAGAGATCCTTTCACATCCATGAAATCTCACAAGGAAAACCACTGGCTGCACGATTCCGATCTTTGTAAGCGTAGATATATCCTGGGATTTTTTCCTGAGGCCTTCATTGTACTAAGTACTAGACTGTGACATATTTCTTGACTGCTGATTCCTTTGATAGGCGATCCTACCAGAGGAAGCTATCTGCCATTTCAATATTTTCATAGTTGGTGTTAAGGCTTAGTCTTCTGTTTATTTAACCTTAGTCCCTGTTTTCCACTATGCTCCTCAAGAGTCATTACTAGAGTCTGTAGTTTTATTTGCCTTTTTAGCATGGCATGGATTATTAATGGTTCTCCCTCCAGTTTTAAAAGCTACTCATCTTCCAATTCAACCTCCTTCAATATGTTTTCAGCATATAATATCTACTCTATGGAAGGTAACTCACACAGTATTGTAAGACCCTTTCCTTTGTATGTCTCCCCAATCTTTACATCTCAGGATTCCTTTCAGCATAATGATGCTGATGCTGATGCTGATGATAGAGTTGG